GCCCGCAGCTCCTCCTCATCTTCCTCCTTCCACCTGTTTGCCCCCCCTCTTCATTTCATTATCCCTTCGCTGCTGTCCATCTTCACTCTTCCTCGTCCCTCTCGTTCTTCCTCCACCACCCCTCTATTCGCCTCCTCGTCCTCATTTCGCCTCTCCTCTTTCTCCCCTCCTTCTCCCCCCCTCCCCTCATTTTCCCTATCATCTGCCTCCTCCTCCTCAGCAAACCACTGACAAAGTAATGAGCCCTGCGCGGGCACGCTACAAATAACACACAACTGCACAAATAACACTGCAAGGCGAAGGACGAGAAGAAAGGGGAAAAAGAGAACGAGGAGCGAGAACGCTGCTACGCCAAGAGGAGGAGGACGAGGAGGAGGAGGAAAGGACTGAGGAGTAATAGTTTCGGCCGCGTGCGATTGATTTGAGGCGCGTGGTTTGCGGAGCTCCCAATGGCTTTCTTCCATCGGGGCCTCACCAGCCCAGGTGCCTCAAATCGACCACATGAGGCCGAAGTTACTTTTGAGTTACTTGAAAGCTATATTAATGTTTCTGAAGGCATGTGAGCTGTGGTAGCACTTCCTTCTCACAATTCTACTCCCTGGATGCGAGTTCTGACGTCGCGACGGCTCGCTGGCGCCGTCAGTTTACTTTTCCTGCTGGACTGCGTCACCAGTGTCAGTCTGCCCATACCCGTCAGACTCCCTGGATTGACGTCCCGCACGGAAAACTTTCCCTACCTCTGTTCGTCCGTTTCGTTCACAGTGGGAACGCCTAGCGCGCCATTTTGGCTGCGCTCGGCTCTCTTCGGTGGCTGACCTCTCAGACTCCCTGGATGTGCCGTTGCATGTTCACCTCAGGGGCTGCCCGGCAGACTCCCTGGATTTGCACGCCTTGGCTTCTCAGACGCCCTGGGTTGCCGCTGCCCGCCGCCTGACCGCGGCCCCGCGCGCGCCCGCCCCCTCGTCGCGGCCGCAGCCCGACCGTAACCGCCTGCCGCTGGCGCTTCCGCTTGCGGCCGTTTTTTTTTTTTTTTTTTTTTTTTTTTTTTTTTTTTTTTTTTTTTACACATGTATATATAGAGAGAGAGATATTTGAAAAATCCCCACCAGCCCATCCAGAAACGATCAGCAGGGGAGTTGGTGAATCAGGGGCGGCAGAACGCATGCAGTCGCGCAGCCGTCTTCGAGAACACAAGCATCACACATAGCTTCCCGCATTGGAATTTAAGCTGGAAGTCAGTGCAAATTACGATGGCGCTTCGATGAGAGGTGAAGGGTATTGCGATGACTCGTAATGGCTGTTGCACTGTTTTGTATCTTAAACTCGCGTGCATTTTGAAACTTGGAGGCATCTTGGGGCCCTCTTGGGATTCTCTTGGGCCCCTCTTGGGGCCTCCTGGGGCTCTTTCTTGGGGCTCTCCTGAGGTCCTCTTGGGGCCTTCTCTGGGCGCTCTTGGGGTCCTCTTGGGGCCTTCTTGGGGCCCTCTTGGGTCTCTTTTGGAAGGTCTTGGAGCCCTCTTGGGGCTCTTTGGGGGGTTATGGGAGGCCTCTCGGGGCCGTCTTGGTCCTTATGGCGAAAGAAGGGGGGGGAGGGGGGGGCAATTCTTGCCCCCCCCTCGGAGGCTCAAAAATGCAGTCTTGGGACCCTCTTGGCCCGCTCTTGGAGCGCTCTTGGGCGCTCTTGAAGCCGTCTTGGGGCTATCTTGGACCCCTCTTGGGGCTGTCTTGGGCCATCTTGGGGCCATCTTGAGGCCCCAAGAGCCCTTCGGAAGCGAAAAAACGAGAAAGCAAAACACATGGATGTCCCTTGGGTTTTTTGACAGATGTTGGCCTCTTGGGGGGGGGTCCTTGGAGGCCTCGGAGGGCACTTGAAACCTTCTTGGGGCCGTCTTGCGGCCTCTTGGACGCGTGCCGGAGGCTATCTTGACCCGTCTACCGCTATCTTGGGCCATCTTGGAAGCCATCTTGCGCTCTCGGAGGCCCTCTTGGAGCCATCTTGGGCCACCTTGGACGCTGCTATGGGTCCGCCCCCCCCCTCGTCCAAACGCAGGGAGGGGGGGGGGTAAACCTCCCGAGCAGGGAAAGGCAAGAGGTTGGAAAGGGAAACGCCCTACCATCTGCGCCCAAAGGGCTGGTGGGATGAGTGAAACCGCCAAATACATTCCAACAGGCTCCCAAACACCTCCACACACACACAAAACCTTCCCAAAAAACCTTCGAACAAAAACGTAAAAAAAAAAAAAACCTTCCAACACAACTTCCAAACACCTTCCTTTTCTTGTCATTTAAAACATGAAAAACAAGATACGCATACATATATATATATATAACACAAAAAAACTTCCGACACACATTCCAAAATGCTTCCAGAATCCTTCACGAAAAAGCCGTCCAATAAATCTTTGTCACGCATATCCCAAGATTCTTGGAACATCCAAAAAAAACGAAAACCTTCAAAAAACGTCACGATGAATCCTGGATTCCTGGAACTCTCCAAACAAAAACCTTCCAAAAGCCCTCGTCACGAAGAATCCGGGATTCCTGGAACCTTGCCCCCCCCCCAAAAAAAAAAAAAACTTCCGAAAACCCCCGTCACGAATAATCCAAGATTCCTGGAACCTTCCAAACAACCTTCCAAAAACCCTCCTCGCGAATATCCCGATATTCCTGGAACCTCAAAAAAAAACATTCAAAAAAACTGCGTCACGAAGAACCCAGGATTCCTGGAACCTTCAAACAAAAACCTTGTTTAAAAAAAGCCCTCGTCACGAACAATCCTGGATTCTTGGAACCTTGAAAAAAAACCTTCGCAAAACCCTCGCCACGAAGAACCCAGAATTCCTGCTAAAAAACAGTCTAAAAACCCTCGTCGCGAAAAAAACAGGATTCCTGGAACCTTCCCACACAAAAAAACGTCCGAAAATCCTCGTCGCGAAGAACCCCCGATTCCTGGAACCTCCCCAGAAAAACCATCCAAAAACTCTCGTCATGAAGAATCCAGGATCCGTGGAGCCATCCAAGAAACAACCTTCCAAGAACCCTCGTCACGAAGAATCCTGGATTCCTGGAACCTTCAAAACAAAACCTTCCAAAAAACCCTCGCCGCGAAGAGCCCAAGATTCCTGAAACCTTCCCCAAAAAACCGTCCAAAAGGCCCCCGTCACGAAGAATCCAGGATTCCTGGAACCTTCCGAAAAACCACCCCAAAAGCCCTCGTCACGAAGAATCCAATATTCGTGGAACCTTCCAAACAGAAACCTGCCAAAAATTCTTGTCACGAAGAAACCAAGATTCCTGGAACCTGCCAAGAAAACCTTCCCACAATCCTCGCACGAAGAATCCTGGAACCTTCAACGAAAAATCGCCACGAAGAATCCAGGATTCCTGGAACCTTCCAAAAAAAACCTTCCAACACCCTCGCCACGAAGATTCCAGGATCCCTGGAACCTTCCCCAAAAAACTTCCAAACACCCCCGTCACGAAGAATCCAGATTCCAGGAACCTTCCGAAGAAAATCCAAAAAACCCTCGCCGCGAAGAATCCAGGATTCCTGGAACCTTCCAAAAAAAGCTTTCCAAAAACCCTGGTCACGAAGAACCCACGATTCCTGCAACCTTCTAACGAACATCCAAAAACCCTCGCCACGAAGAATGCAGGATTCCTGGAACCGTCCAAGAAAACCTTCCAAAAAAACAATCGCCGCGAAGACTCCAGGAATCGTGGAACATCCTAAAGAACTTGTCAAAAACCATTGCCACGAAGAATCCTGGACCCCTGGAACCTTCAAACAAACCTTCCGACAAGTCACAAAGAATTTCGGATTCCTGGAACCCTCCAACAGAAAAAAAACATCCAAAAAACCCGAGTCACGATGAACCCAAGACTCCTGGAACCTTCCAAAAAACCTTCCAAAAAAACCATCGTCACGAAGAATACAGGATTCCTGGAACCGGCCAAAAAACCTTCCAAAAACCGTCGTCGCGAAGAATCTAGGATTCCTGGAACCTTCCAACAAAAAAAATCCTTCCAAAAAACCCTCGTCGCGAAGAATCCAGGATCCCTGGAACCTTCCCAGAAAAACCTTCCAAAAACCCTCGTCACGAAGAATCCAGGATTCCTGGAACCTTCCAAAAAACCTGCCCCCCCCAGAGACCCTCATAGCCTTCCAAAGAAGCGTCCTGTCCACGACTCAATTTGGTCCCCACAGTGCCCATGAAGCTGTCGAGAGGCCTGCCCTCCTCCTCCTCCTCCTCTTCCTCCTCCTCCTCCTCCTCCTCCTCCTCCTCCTCCTCCTCCTCCTCCTCCCCTTCTTCCTCCCCTATCGAAACCCATACCCTCCATCTCTCCCGCCATGGGCCAGTGAACTTAGCGAAGCGATTAAATAAGCCGAGGCCAATGATGAGCCTCTTGTGGCCTCCTGAACAAGCCTCTCGCGGAGCTCTCGATCGCATTGTGGGAGGAGGGGGGGCACCGACCTGAAATCGGCGATACATCGCCGATAGATCAGAGATATGCCCTGTAGGCGGTGGATGAGCGACTGGGAGTCGACCCCCCCCTTACGTTGCCACTGCTGGCTTTTGGGCCACAACTCGTCGCTCCGGCGGCCGTTCGGAACGATCCAGGCCTCCCGGGAACGCCCTCGGTGAAGCGCAGCCGCTGGACAGCATCCCGAGGCAGGAAACGAAAACGCTCGGAAACCTCAACCCCGCGGACCCCCTCCCCCTTTGGAGCGTGCTGGAGCGTATCGACGACGACGGCGGCGGCGGCGGCGGCGGCGGCGGCGGCGACGACGACGACGACGACGACGACGACGACGACGACGACGACGACGACGACGACGACGACGGCGGCGGCGGCGGCGTCGTCGGCGGCGGCGGCGGCGCGGCGGCGGCGGCGGCGTCAACGGCGGCGGCGGAGACGGCGACGGCGACGGCGACAACGGCGAGGGCGAGGGCGACGACGACGACGGCGTCGACGACGGCGGCGCCGCCCCGCGGGCGCCTCGGCCGCGAGGTCGCCCGCGCGCCTCTCCAGCTCCGCGGCGCCCAGCGCCCCCCTGGCCGCCGCCTCGCTGGCGCGGGCCTGGGCCTGGGCGGCGGCCTCCGCCGCGAGCCTGCGGCTCCCGCCGCCGCCGCCACCATCGTCGCCGTCGCGCCCCGCACGCGCTCCGTCTCGTCGCCGTCGCCGCCGCCGCCGCAGTCGCCGCCGCCGCCGTCGTCGGCGTCGGTTCAGCGCAGTGCTGGAGAAGAGGGTGGGCTACGGGAAGGGAAGGGAAGGGAAGGGAAGGGAAGTGAAGGGAAGAGGGTGGGCTACGGGAAGGGAGGGGAAGGGAACGCGCGGTCCGTCGCATTGATTCCACTTCTGGCGGCTGAGCGCACGCCGCCTCACCCCAGGCACGCCAGGCCCCGATGCGCAGAAGCCCTGGACCCGGGCACAACGAGGCAAGAGAACTGCCGACGCGAGCCTGCCGGCGTGCCCTTCGCCCCCGACGCTCGCGGCCGAGGAGGAGGCCGAGGAGGGCGAGGGAGACGAGGACTCCACTCCGCTCAGCTCCACCCTCTGGGGCGGGCGCCACGCCAGCGTGTCCTGAACCGAAAGGCTGATGCTGATGCAGAGAGGGTGCCCGCAGCGATCGCTGCGCACAAGCCTGCGCGGCCCCACCGCTGCGAAGGCCAGCCGGGGGGCGCACGCCCTGCGCACCCCTGCCGGGGCTCGCGCGGCCAGCGCAGCTCGTGGCAGCACGCGTGGCACGGCATGGAGGTGGCGTCGAGGACCAGCAGCAGCAAAGGACGAGGAGGAGGAGGACCAGTGGAAACCCAAGAGTCCTCAACGATGTTGGCATTAAGCCCACTCTCCAAGCTCCCTCTTCATAGGCCCCTACAACGGTTCACGTCCATTGAGGGAGCTGCCTCGCTGGAAGACAACAGTTTGAAGATCCTGAAGCGTGCCGAAATATTGTTCTCGGGATTTCAACGCCACGTATCAACCTGACTGCTGCGTCTTGACGATCCAGAATCGTGCCAAAAAGCCGTGCCATCTTTGAGACTTCAACACGGCAAATCAACATAACTGTTGCGCCCGCATACTCCTGAATCCTTCCAAAACACTATTTCGGTTTCGCTGATCATGGGAATCCGCGAACACTCTTGCATTTTTTTTTATATAAAAAAAATGTGCGCGGCGCTAATGCGAGAACTACATGCTGAAAAGGAACCGCCCTCAATCCGTAAAACTCTTGCAAATATGAAAAACACATGTGCACGGCGCTAAGGCGATAATCACATGTTGAAAACCAAACGCCCTCCATCCGTGAAGCTCTTGTAAATGTTTAAAGCGAATGTGCGCGACGCTAAGACGAGAACCTCAGTTTGAAAACCACCCGCCCTCAATCCGCGAAACTCTTGCAAATGATTAACACGAATGCGCGCGGCGCTAAGGCGAAAACCACATTGTGAAAACCACCCGCCCTCAATCCGTGAAACTCTTGCAAATGTTTAAAGCGAGTATACGCGGCCTTAAGGCGAGAACCACATTGTGAAAACCACCCGCCCTCAATCCGCGAAACTCTTGCAAATGTTTAAAACGAATGTGCGCGGCGCTAAGGCGAGGGCCACATTTTGAAAACCACCCGCCCTCCATCTGTGAAACTGTTGCCACGTTTAAGCGTCAGAGTCATACATGGTGGGGGAGTCTCAGATCGCCTGGCCCGCCCTGAAAACTGGCCTCGGGGTGCGACAGGGAGGAGTCATTCTATAAGGAGAAGGAATGGTGGAGGAGGAGGAGGAGGGGGAGAAGGAGGAGGAGGAGGTGGTGGAGGAAGAGGGGAGGAGGGGGAGGAGGGGAGGACGATTAGAGAACGATTAACACCCAGAGGGAAGGAGGAGGGAAGAGGAGGCCAGCTCCGAAGGGACCTCAAAGCCCAGGGGCCCCCCTGGGCGATATGGGGTTGGCGACCCACTCGGGGTCCCCCGGGACGGAGCGAGGAAGGGGAGGGGAGGAGCAGGGGAGGAGGAGTGGGAGGAGGAATGGGGAGGAGGCCCAGGATAGGGGGCAGGAGGGGATCAGCGAGACTTCTTTACTCTCTCAGCGCCTCCGGAAGTTGCTGTCCAGAGACTGGCCTTAAGATCTGCTCAGCTCTGCGCTGAAAATGGCTCGTGCCAAAATGTTGTGGTGCCGATGCCGACGAAACGTGAGCAGCAACAGCAATCCACCACCTACCCCAACCTCTACACCATTAATTCGCTAGAGTACAAGATTTGCTGCAGACGTCTTAGGGTGGAGGGGCCCGAATTGCACCAGCTTAGACCAATGGATTGGGAGCGTTCCCCGAATCGCGAACGAAAAGCTTGTTCAAGCCACGATCTAAGGACTGGGTGCCCATTCAGAGCAGCTACCTCTCTCTGTAGCTCCTGCACTGTAGCAGGGTGGTGCCCTACAACTAGCCAGGAAAAAAAAACTCTCTCTTGGGTTCCACTCGGCGTCGAGGGGGCTCGGCGCCTGTGGAAGAAAAGCGTGCCTCAGCTACGAGGGCAGATTGCCGGAACATGCTGAGCGTGTATTCGTCTGCAAAACTCTCGCGAAGCCTACTCTCTATGGTGGCTATAGACTGTTGGTATAGGCCTCGAGTGCTACACAATCGACTTACTCTCTGTGCAAAGGCTTTTGGCCACGAGCTGTGCACGTGGCGCGGTTGAGCACTGGAGGGAGATAGAGGAGGGGCGAGAGAGGACGGTTTCAGAAAGTGTGAGACTGAAAAATGATCCCGTTCCTTCCTCACCAGCAGATCCAGGAACTGCACCTCGCGCCATGCCCATGTTATCTTCATCGGGTAGATGTGAGCGAGCGCCTGCATCTCCCTGAAGAGCGACATTGTGCTTGAAGCGAGCCCCCCACTCAGGAGCAGTATGTCATCTCTGAACCTCCAGCATGCTCTGACACCATGGTGGGCAAGCTTCTCGCCCGCCCCTGCCGTTACGACGCGCCTCTCCATGAGCGCCACGAGCGTACAGTCAGCGACCTCGCCGGAATGTTCCAGGCCCATACCTGATCCTTCCAGCACTTGGTACGTCAGGTTGTCGGACCCTTCCCATGGGTCATCCACATATTGATTATGCAAAACGAAATCGAGAACTCGATGTAAGACTTCCTTCATAGGGTCGTCAGCCGCCCATAATGTCAGGATTGCCTCTATGATCTGATCAGGTGTGCCGTTCAAGTAAAAGTCCTTAACATCGATTGTGGCCATGTGCCATTTCTCAACACTCGTATGCCGGATGTGCCTGATTCTGGATACAAGGTCTTGTGAATCCTTCAGAAGATAGGGTGCGACGTCGCCAAGCTTGCGCCGAAGTTCCTGAGCCAGCCAGTGACTGAGCCCAGCAAACATGTACCTCGACGAAGCATGGACAGCTCGCACAACCACTTCTCCCTGAGGCTTCTGTGTCTTGACCAAGATCTGTAGCCTGCTCCGCGCCGTGCTGCCTGGAAATATTGCGCTCTTGAAGAGTGCTGGGCTCAACGTTTCATCGTCCAACTTCTCCCCAACCCACTTGCAGATTTTGTTGTAAGACCTCGCAAGAGCGTTGTGGATGCCATGCCGGCTGGTTGGCACGTAGCGCCTACATGAAAAAACACGGTCTGATATGATAGGAAGATCAGCTTTCCGCACCAGCGAAAAAGTGGAACCCTTGTCATTGGGGATCGCCGCAAACTTGCTTCTCTGGAGTAGCTGGAGCGCACACTTTTCCAACGGACCCAAATTAGCGTACGATCGTGCTGAAAACCGCGAACGTCTCCTGGCACGCACCATGGCGTTCATGAGCTGCTGGCTGACAGATTGCACCCACCACTTCATCGGAAGCCAACTGGGCTTGGTGTTGGCTTCAGCCTCCTTGGTGAAGGTTGGTGGTCTGGGTGCCGGAGGGCCTCGGAAATCTCGGGGAGGTCCAGGAAAATGATGAAAATACCACCTCCATTTCATCTTATTTCCATAATCTTGCAATTGCCGTCGGAAGGAAGTTAAAGAGGGAAGAGCTTTAGATATAGAAATGTGCTTACGATGGCGACGTAAAAGGTACCATTTGATCGGCCATGGAGCGCTGGCCGTCCGCATGCTGAGGGAGGTAGGGTCGTATAGCTGAACCCGATGTTGCTGAGATGGCCAGTCCAGGATGGCAAGCAAATCCCCTGCGCTTAGCCCAGACGTCATGCGCAACATCCATCGGATATCACTACGCTGTGATTCGTCCTCCCGGAGCTTGCGTCTCCACGCTACTTGGCGTAAGAGTTTCCGTTCGTACCACGCTCTCCCTTTTTCCCGTGTGGGTATTTTCCCTTCTTGGAATCCTTCCCCTTCCTGGAGTCCTTGCCCTTTCCGTTGTCCTTGTTTTTTCCTTTGCCTTTCTGTCTGTCTGTCTTGCCTTTCTTGCCTTTCTTGCCCTTCTTGCCTTTGCCTTTGCCCTTGGGCTGCGTGTCTTGGGGGTCTATTCCCTTGCCCCTGCAGTCCTTGTCCTTGCCTGCCTTTGGTCTGGTTCCCCCCGGCGCTGCCGCCGGGGAGCGGCCGTTTTTTGCAGACACTGCGTCGCAGAAGCGGGTCAAGGTTTGAGCTGGATCTACTGCTCTAGCTTCTGACCCCATAGCTGCATCTGGAGGCCCACCTTCCAGATCAACATCATGTCTTTCGCCCAGCTTGTCCCTGATCTCCGCGTTGATCACCTTTTTGAGGAGGCTAGCCGGGTCCATGTTCATCCTGGCGTGCTCCTTGGCTTCCTCCTTGTCCTTCGCCTTCTTGGCCTCGTTCTCCTTGGTCTCTATTTCCTTGGAGATGCGATCCACCGCTTGCTTGTACAGCGACTCTGCCTTGGCAGCAGCTTCCTGCTCAGGCACTGGTTCGTAGAGGGGTTCACCCAGTCCCAGAGCTGACGCCCTGTCCTTTTCGGCAGCTGCTTTGATGATGTCCGTCACGGTGTTGGCAAACGTCACCTTGAGCGCTGCCTGCTTTGCGTCCGACATCTTCTTCTCAGCCGACTTTTTCTCCAAATTTTTTATGTGTCTGAAACAAGACCAGTGGATAGACGCCATTG